CTTGGCAAGCAGCTACTGGATTGCTGCCAAACTTCTTATCGGAAGAATTGGTTGTCTGCCAGTTTATTTAACCCCCGGCTGTCTGTTTGTGTGCGTGTGTGAGACGGGGACAGAACATGACCCTGCAACCGTCGTAAATGTGAACCAGTTGCCAAGCGTCTGAAATTTTGATCATGTGACCAGGCGGGGTGCTGCAACAGTCGTAACTGTGAGGACCAGTCACAAGATACCTTTTTCTCAATGTCATTGTAACTTTGAGTAGTTATTAAAGGCATCTATTTATTAACCTATTAACTAACTTCACTCAGTGAAGTTAGTTAATAACCTATAAGTTTATTAACCTATTAACCCACCATTCAAACAGTGGTGGGTTTCTACCGGTTCGCCCTGGTTCGGGGAAACTGGTAGTAGCAGCGGTGGGAGGCTCCGCCCACCCGCCCGGACGTCATCACAGATACTTTGCGCATGCGCGATTCCGAACCAGTAGCGAAGGCAAGTGGAACCCACTACTGCATTCAAAGTTACAACAGCTCTGGAAAAAAATGAATTGGGATGTTTTCACACTTACGACCGTTGCAGCATCTCCATAGTCACGTGATTGAAATTTGGGTGCTTGGCAACTGATTCATACTTATGACGGTTGCAACGTCCTGGGGTCATGCGACATCCCCCTTTTGCAAGCTTCTGACAAAGCAAAATCAACGGGGAAAGCTAGATTTCCTTGTTACCAATTTAAACAAGGGCAGTGATTCACTTGACAACTGTGGCAAGAAGAGTTCACTTAACAACATAAAATTGTGAGCTCCATTGTGGCCGTATGTGGACAACTACCTGTGGTTTAGATTCCTCAGACTGGGCAGAATAAAAAAAAAAAAACTATCAATAAACGGCTTTCTTAAGAACGAGAGATGTTTGAGGATGCAGTCTTCCGTAGAGAAAAATAGCTTTGACTTCTATCTTCGTTTTTAAGCAGTACAATGTAGTACGTGCAGGAAAATGTTTCCAATTATTGTTCAGGGGGAACAGAAAATAGAAATGAATCAAATTGCTTCTGTCAATACCCCATGACTATTGCCCCAACTTTGCATTTGCTGGATGTCAGCCATAGTGGCAAATCAGATAATATAAGATAATATGTATTTCCATTGGAGACAGCATGAAAATGACGGAGTTTATTACTGTATATCCTGTTTTTTGGTGGAATAGTTACTGGACTGCACCATTTTTATGAAAGCGCCTCTTCCAAACGACATGTTGAATTTTCTGCATTTGATTTAATTTTGCCAGACTTGGTTGATTCTAAAACATTGTATGTTTTCTTGACGTTACAAACTCAAAGTGACAATGGATATTACTGCTTGACAAGAAGAATGCAATCCTTTTCAAATTGAGCCACTGAAATATTAGGTTGCTATTATATAATTGCTTTATTTGCAATATTTGCGGTGGTGCAATGTGTGTTTTCAATTTATTTGGTTCTTGTTAATTATTTTTAACCGGTTTGAGCATCACGGCTTAGGAAGAGTAGGAATCCAAGAAATAAATGAATTACAAAAATTTGCTAGTGCTTGGGAGCGATCCCAATGCGGCGAAGAATCGAAATGAGGAGCTGCTGTGATAAAACAAAAATAAGAATGGAAGCAGCATTTGAATTAATGCTAATAAACTAGTCTGTGCAAAAAGGTTATGATACCCTTAAAATACATTTATGTATTTGGTACTCTGAAAAATATTTTAGCTGGGCGAAAAACAACCTGGAAGTTGCTGAATTATACCTCCTAGCATCTCCTACCACTTTCCAAGTTGCGATTGAAAAATGGTAGATTATAGTTAAGCAATGTTCTATCTCAGGGGTCTGCAATCTTAAATACTCGAAGAGCCATTTGGACCCGTTTCCCACAGAAAAGAAAACACCGGGAGCCACAAAACCTGGGTGGGCGTGGCCAACTCGATGTCACACACCTCCACCAGTCACATGGCCACCCCCTAGCCACACCTACCCTGCCAGTCATTAGGGCAGAGAACCGGTTGTTAAAAAACACCGGGAACCACAAAATTCTTTTGACATATCTCTCTCTCTCCCCCTCCCTCCCTCTCTCCCCCCTCTCCCTCTCTCTCTGTATCTCTCTATGTCTCTCTCTCTCTCTCCCTCTCTCTGTATCTCTCTATGTCTCTCTCTCTCTCCCCCTCTCTCTCTGTATCTCTCTATGTCTCTCTCTCTCCCCTTCTCTCTGTATCTCTCTGTGTCTCTGCCCAGGCCGCTTCTCCATCCCCCACCGTCCACCCTTACCTTCTCAGGCCAAGTGAGGAGTGACTGAGAGGGGAGGGCAAGGGACGGGGCCAGCCAGTGGTGGGATCACCTGACAGGGAGCCACAGCAGAGGGCCCAAAGAGCCACATGCGGCTCCGGAGCCACAGGTTGCTGACCCCTGCTCTATCTCAAAGTAGTAGGCCAGTCTACGAATGGTGGTTTGATTACAAGATAGCTCCCCGATTCTGTCTGTTTACCAGCAGGCCAGCCAAGACTTCTTCAATTCAGTCTTTATGCTTTATCTAAGAGACGATCACTGCATCTTGGAAAATTTATTCTTCCTGGGATTAATTTAGAGCCAGATCTTGCCTGGAATCTGCCAAGCAAACCACAGACCTGCTCTTAGTCGTGAGAGAGAGAGAGGGAGGGAGAAAGAGAAAGAGAAGGAGGGAGATTCAATAAAATAAAAGGAAGCTACAATTTGATAAAAATAGCACTATATTCCTGCAACCAAGTGTGGAAAATAAATTTAGCACTGGTGGAAAATCTTTGGCATTAGTTTGTAACGGCACTGTAACTGCTGTAACTTTTCTCAGCATCCCCGTCAGTGGTGAAATTCAATTTTTTTTTACTATCGGTTCTGTGGGCGTGGCTTGGTGGGCGTGGTGTGGCTTGGTAGGTGTGGCTTGGTGGGCGTGGCAGGGGAAGGATACTGCAAAATCTCCATTCCCGCCCCACTCCAGGGGAAGGATAGTGCAAAATCCCCATTCCCTCCCCACTTCTGGGTGGAAGGATATTGCAAAATCTCCCTGATTTCATCCCTGATCCCCGTGGTCATGTGATCAAAATTCAGACGCTTGGCAACTGACTCATATTTATGATAGTTGCAGCATCCTGGGATCATGTGATCCCTTTATAGAATAGAATAGAATAGAATTCTTTATTGGCCAAGTGGAATTTGTCTTTGGTGTATAGGCTCTCAGCGTACATAAGGAGAATAAAATACATTCATCAAGAATAAAAAGATACAACTCTTAGTGATAGTCAAGGTTAGTAATAAGCTATCAAATCGTACTGACGATCCCAGCTTAGTTGCCTGATCGTCAGAGGCTTGTAAAAGCATTTTTTTCTGCAACCTCTTCGGCCAAAGAGGTTATAGAAAAACTGCTTTTAAAAGTTAAAAAAAAAAAAAAAAGTTGGCCACGCCCACCCAGTCACATTACACCCCCACCCCCGCACTAAGTCACGCCTACAGAACCGGTAGCAGTGGTGGGATTCAGCCAGTTCGCACCAGTTCAGGAGAACCGGTTGTTAACTTTCTGAGCAGTCTGGTGAACAGGTTGTTGGAAGAAATCATTAGGGCAGAGAACCAATTGTTAAATTATTTGAATCCCACCACTGACTGGTAGTAACAAACTTTAGATTTCACCCCTGTTCTGCACCGCAACTTAACGTACAATCCTGATCCTTTGTACTACGAATAAGAACTGATAATACTACGAATAAGAACTGTGAATAAGTAACTGCGAGAGGGATCTTGGAATCTTAGTGGACAACCAGCTAAATATGAGCCAGCAGTGTGAACCAGCAGCCAAAAGAGCCGATGCAATCCTAAATTGCATTAACAGAGGGATACAATCAAGATCAAGTGAGGTACTAATACCGCTCTATAAAGCCTTAGTAAGACCACACCTAGAGTACTGCATCCAGTTTTGGTCACCACACTATAAAAAAGAGGTTGAGACTCTAGAAAAAGTGCAGAGAAGAGCAACCAAGATGATGAGGGGACTGGAGGCTAAAACATACGACGAACGGTTGCAGGAACTGGGCCTGGCTAGTCTAGTGAAGAGAAAAGAAGGACCAGGAAAGAAATGATAGCAGTCTTCCAATATTTGAGGGGCTACCACAGAGAGAAGGGGGGTCAAGCTATTTTCTAAAGCACCTGTAGGCCAGGCAAGGAATAATGGATGGAAACTGAACAAGGAGAGATTTAACCTGGAAATAAGGAGAATTTTTCTGACAGTGAGAGCAATCAACCCATGGAACAGACGTTGCCTTTGGAAGTTGTGGGAGCTTCATCGCTGGAGGCTTTCAAGAAGAGGTTGGACTGCCATTTGCCATAAATGGTGTAGGGCAGTGATGGCTAACCTTTTTGCCATCGCGTGCCAGGAAGGGGGGACGTGGGAGGTTCACGAGCGTGCATGTGCCCACACCCATAATTCTATGTACCCGGCCCTGTGCATGCATGCATGATCCTCCCCTCCCCGCCCCCCACTCCCGGCAAACAATGGCCCGGTAGGCCCATTTTTCTTTCTCACCTGGCTCCAGATCCTCTCTATGCATCTGGGGAGGCCAAAAACAGCCTTCCCCACTCCCTCGGAGGCCCGAAACGGTCCGTTTCCCAACTTCTGGTTGGACAGGAAGTGACATTTTTTGTTGTTCCCAGCCTCCAGAGACTCCTAGAGAGGCTGAGCTGGCGTGCCAGGTGGACATGGCTCCGTGTGCCACCTGTGGCACTCGTGTCATAGGTTCGCCATCATGGGTGTAGGGTCTCCTGCTTGGACAGGGGGTTGGACTAGATGACCTACAAGGTACCTTCCAACTCTGTTAATCTGTTAAAACCTCTGATTCAATTCATAGCTAGTTTCAATCCCCCTTTGGCTTCTTGCTTCATGCGCTACTATGAATTGTGCTGTGTGAAGTGACCCTCACATTTTAAGATACCCACTGCTCTTCCAATTTTGTTACAGGTGATATTACCTTGGAGACCAAAACAGGGAGCATCACAGTTGGTAAGTTCTTGTTCTCCTTTTCTTGTTCACGCCCTTGTTTTTTTTAATTAAAACACCCCTGCTGAATCGGTTCTATGGATTGAAAATTTGGGCAGCTGTGACTGGACGTCCTTTAATGAATTTGGATTCAACGGTTCGTCTGCGGTGATTTTAGCTCCACGATTGCCAAGTTTTACTACAAGCTCAACACAGATTGGATGTAATTCACCAGGGCTTTATAGCAGGGTGGCAGTTAAACCCATTGGCAGGAAATAGGTATGTTCATACCTCACGCTAAGCCACCCTGCTGTTTATTTGATTTTTGGGCTCGCATCTTCTGTGAATCCTTTCGTTGTAAATTTATAAACCATGAATTATGATGTGGCTCAGTGGGTGATAATCCTTCGCTGTGCTCCAAACGAACGGGTTGCTAAGCTTATTACTTCAGCGTCTTCACGGTTCAGATATTTGCAGGGAAATAGTCTAGACCAGTGTTTCTCATATTTGGCAAATTTAAGATGTGTGGATTTCTGCCTGGGGAATTCTGGGAGTTACTTAACGTAACTTTGAGAAACACTGATCTGGTTGTGTTCTGACCTACGCTTCCTTAGAAATTGAACAGCACAAACTTAGTCCCGGCAAACCTCTTTAATTCATACGGCTGTAAATTACTTTCATTTACAGTCCTCAAGGCTTGATAAACAGTCTTTCAGAGGAAGGTTATCAACACCCACCTATCTCACGTGGAACGCTGCCAGAGAGCTAATTTCCAGACGCAGGGCAAGGCCAAACTTGGCACAGAGTCACAAAAAGAAGTTTCAAATCTTGAATCGGCCAGATGAACTATTTGCTTCCTGCAAAAGCTCACGTCCCTTTCGCTTCTCTTTTATGTCTTATGGGAGGGGCCAATCATCTCCAAGCCTTACTCCCAAGTCGACCCTGTTTCTTTAATTGTTCCTGTCCCCTGGCAACTCTGCCCATGCTCACACTGGGAACAGGGTCCCGCTGTTCTTCTGCCTCGCTGATGTCAGACTCCGGAGAACTACCAGATGGCCTTGGCCCCCTCTCTGCCTCTGACTCAGAGCCCTCGTCCGAGCCTTCCCCAGACTCCAGGACTGGCTCACGTTCCTCCCCACTGTCCGAATCTCCTGCCAGCTCTGCTGGCCGCTGGCGGGCCACAACAAGTTGGAAAAAAAAATCTGTTGTTGAATGGCCATATCAAATTAAGGTCAGATGACAACCTATGAAAAACTGCTGTTGTTGTTTTAACCATTGAGTTGTGTTATTAATTGTGTTTGTGTGTGTGTTAACTTACTTAAACTGAAAGGTCTCAGGCATTTTGGCTTCCCTGTGTATATTTATTTTTAATGCGACGGGTTCCCAGATTAAAATTAAACAGTATCAGAATTCAGCGTGGTTTTATCAAATGATCTAAGCTTGTTAATCAGTTGTCCGTTCTTGTACTTTGGCACTTAGCATAAGTAAGCAATTATTTCTCAGTGGTGTGTTGGCAAGCAAAAGAAATTTATTTTGATAGGGCACTAAGTCAGGGGGTTTCAAACTTTTTCCAGAATGCAGAATTTCTTCCCTAGATCCCGAGGATTTCAGTCAATTAATCCCGTGGAAAAAGGAAGCATCTTGTTTAACAGAATAACAGAGTTGGAAGGGATCTTGGAGGTCCTCTAGACTCCAACCCCTGCTCAAGCAGGAGGCCCTATACCATTCAGACAAATAGCTGTCCAATCTCTTCTTAAAAACCTTCAGGAATGGAGCACCCACAATTTCTAGAGGCAAGTTGTTCCACTGATTAATTGTTTTCACGGTCAGGAAATTTCTCCTTAGTTCTAAGTTGCTTCTCTCCTTGATTAGTTTCCACCCATTGCTTCTTGTCCTGCCCTCGGGTGCTTTGGAGCATAGCTTGACTCCCTCTTCTTTGTGGCAGCCCCTGAGATATTGGAAGACTGTTCTCATGTTGCCCCTAGTCCTCCTTTTCATTAAATTAGACATACTCAATTCCTGTAACCATTCCTCATCCAGTCCCCTAATCATCTTTGGTGCCCTTCTCTGCACTCCTTCCAAATATTGAAATAGAATTAGCGTATAGGTTCTACCATCCAAAGGCAGAAACGAAGAGACCTAGAATAATCTAGACCCGGTGTCTGCAACCTGCAGCTCCGAAGCCCCATGCGGCTCTTTGGGCCCTCTGCTATGGCTTCCTGTTGGATGATCCCACCACTGGCTGGCCCTACCCGTCACTCTCCCCTCCCAGTCACTCCTCGCCTGGCCTGAGAAGGTAAGGGCGATGGCAGGGGATGGAGAAGCGGTCGGGGCAGAGACAGAGATATACAGAGAGAAGGGGAGAGAGGGAGAGAGAGAGAGAGAGACATAGAGAGATAGAGCGGGGGAGAGGGAGGAGGGGGTAGGGAGGAAGAGAGAGATTTCGAAAGGTTTTTGTGGTTCCCGTTGTTTTTTAGCAACTGGTTTTCTGCCCTAATGACCGGCTGGGTAGGTGTGGCTAGGGAGGTGTCATGTGACTGGTGAAAGTGAATGTCGAGTTGGCCACGCCCACTGAGGTTTTGTGGCTCCTGGTGTTTTCTTTTCTGTGGGAAATGGATCCAAATGGCTCTTTGAGTGTTTAAGGTTGCAGACCTCTGATCTAGACTCTACCCATTATCTTTTTGGACAGGTAAAATAGCTGTATTTACCTGTCTAAAAAGATGTCCTTGAAACCTCAGGAATTTTAATCTAGGCTGTAGCAACCCAGGGGAAAATAGATTCTTCTTTTGTTTTTAATAAGTCAAAACATTAGCTTGGATTCAACTGGAGGAGAAAATATTGTTAAAACATACACCCGAGACATCACACACGCCGATAATTCAGTCCAGATTGTTTTACCACACACAGGCAATTATTTCCATTTATCCAAAAATGAATTTATGGTGCTAAGTTTGTCTTGATGCATTTATCTCATTTATTAGTTGCATCTGGTTTTGTCTGAGATATCTACCGAACAATTTCGGGATCTAAAATCCCCTGCTGTTCTTTCTTTTGGCAGTTACCCTTAAATTGCTCTAATAATGTAAATTAATTTCCAATTAGTTGCCGATTGGTTTGGAAGCAAAAGTGCATTTCTAAAGATCATTCCTTTTCTGTCAAGTCTGTTCTGTCCTCATACCTTCGAGACCAACTTCTGCCACCAATAGCCTCCCACCGACCAGTCCGCTCCCACAGAGAGGGTCTCCTCAGGATGCCATCGGCCAAGTTATGTCGGCTGGCGACACCCAGGGGGAGAGCCTTCTCTGTGGGAGCCCCAGCCCTGTGGAATGAACTGCCCCTGGAAATACGTAAGATCTCCGACCTCCGGGTGTTTCGCTGCATACTGAAGACCCTGTTGTTCCGCCAGGCCGGGCTATCAACATAACGATTTTAAATTGGGGTATTTTAAATTTTTGGGATTTTAATTGGAGCCTAATTATTTAATGATTTTAAATTTTAATTGTTGTTTTGTTCTGTGTTTTTAAATAGGCTGTACACCATCCTGAGTCCTTCAGGAGAAGGGCGGTATAGAAATAAAATTATTATTATTATTATTATACCACACATGCACCCTCACGGACGGCCCAGAGTTAATAAGCCACACGACAAAACTCTTTGAAGATAAAGCTGCCAGCACCCAGTGGCTAGCTGCCAATTCAGACTTTACTCACACAAAACAAAGATTAGACTGCAAGCATTCCGATAAAACAGGCAGAGTTTCAACAATACAAGGATTAATCCAAATGCAGTCCGATAAAGCAGACAAAATCCAGTAACGCAGAGATCATGGATTATTTCCAGTTTTTGCTCGTCACAAACTGAACCGGCCACCACACCCACATTTATACCCTGTGGGGTGTGGTCCAGTGACTCAGCTAATCTCTGGCACGCCTTCCCCTCTGCTGCGCACACTTCCCCCTGCGCCTCTGCCGAGGGTCCAGCCTTATCTTCTTTGTCGCTGTCCACCTGTGGCTGTGGGGACGTGCTTGGCTCTGAGCCTATCTCTTGGCCTTCGGTGTCCTCCGGAAGCATTGCCAGAGAGGAGGGTCCTGGAGAGGGAGGCCTTGCCAACTCCTCTCCCTCACTCTCAGAGTCTGCATCTGTCGATAGCCCAGGCTCAGGCAATGGAGCCACAACAAAGTCTTCCTTTTGTGGAGATGCTGTTCCTGAACATCCAGAAAAATGGACTGTTTAATCACAATATCACAACCTCTTTACCTCACTCTGATTCTCCTGTCCTTAAGAAGGTAACTGATAGTCATCTTCTTTTAATGACCCCATAATCCCTTGCGGGGTGGAGTCTGGGCAACTGAATGGAGTTGAGTGTTTACTGGCCGGATGCCCTTCCTGTCACCAATGCAGAGTTTTGTTCAGCAGATATATTCTCATTGTGCCCAGAGAGAGAGAGAAATATCTGCCTCCACCTAGGATTGAACTCACAGTCTCCTAATTGTGAGGCAAGAGCACCACCTCCAGGCCACTGCACCACTCAAGAAGGTAACTGATAATGCTTTAATTAATGAGTTTCTTGAGATCTTGATGAATGTTAGCATCCAAGAATCTAAATATTACCAATTCCAAGAACCAAGGATGTTTGAATGCCGAGTCTGGGAAACGTTAAATTTAGACACAGATGTCAAAAAGTTGCTTCTCCTTTATATTTGTCTCACAGCATTTTTCCTCTCGCCTGCGGGCCAGTTAATCTTGATCTGTTAAAGAGATTTTGAAGTTAGAAAGAAAGCTTGATAGGAGAAAAACTTCACATTCTTTCTGAGGGAGCATTTGTTGAATTTTTCATTGCTGAGGTTTCTCTCCTCCATTCGAATCCAAGCTTATGTTTTGACTTACTAAAAAAACAAAACAAGAATCTCTTTTCCTCTGATGATGTGCCCAATTCTTGCAACTACTCATCATCCAGTCCGGTGGTGGGATTCAAATTTTTTTACTACCGGGTCTCTGGGCGTGCCTTGGTGGCCGTGGCATGG